AAGAGGAGGGTGAGGAAGGAAAAGAAAAGGAAAAGGAGGAAAGAGGAAAGGAAGAGAAGAGGTGGGGCAGAGAGGGAGAGAAAGAAAGAGAGAAAGAGGACAAACAGAAAGAAAGGGAGAACAGAAAGAGAAAGGAGAAGTGGAGGAAAGAAAGGAAGGAATAGAAAGGGAAGCAAGGCAGAAGAGGGAAAGAGTAAAGAACTAATGAAATAGAAGAGACAAAGAGGAGGGGAAAGAGAAAGAACGAAGAAGGGAAAAGAAAAGAAGAAGAAAGACCTTTTTTAGTGAAGAAGAAGAGGAAGAAAGATATGTGAAGAATGAATTGGCGACAGGGAATGAAAACGGAGAAGAAAGAAGGGATGAAGGCGAAAAGGAGAGGGGAGGAGGGGAAGGAGAGGGAGAGAGGAGGGGAAGAAGGGAGAGGGGAGGGAAGGAGGGGAGACGGTAGGTAGGAAGTGACTGGTGGTGAGGTGGGGTGGATTGGGACCGGGGGTATCGGCAGGGGTGTGGAAGTAAGGATTTATGTACCCTTACGAGGATATATAAGAAAAGTGAGCGTGTGCGGTGATGTGTGTGTTGTGTGTGTGTTTGTGTGTGTGTGTGTGGTGTGGTGTGTGAGTGGATTGTGTGGTCTGTTGTGTGTGTGTGTGTTGTGTGTGTGTGTGTGGCGTGTGTGTGTGTGTGGTGGGCCGTGTGGGTGTGGGTGTGTGGTGTTGTGGTGTGGTGTGGGTGTGTGTGTGGTGTGTGTGTCGTGTGTGCGTGTGTGTGTTGGTGTGTGTTTGTTGTGTGTGTGTGTCGGTGTGGTAAATGTGTGTAGTGTGTGTGTGTGTCGTGTGTGTGCTTGTGTGGTGCATCTGTGTGTGTAGTGTGTCGTGTTTTAATTACGAGAGCATCGTTAATGGAAGAAAGTCATTCTCACTGTCTGTCTGCTGTCTCTCTCAACACACACACGCACACAGGCTCTCCCTCTCCCTCCCTCCCTCTTCCTTCCCCCTCCTCCCTCCCTCCTCTCCCCTTTCCCCTCTCACCTCCCCTCTCTCTCCCTCCCTCTTCTCCCTCCCTCCCTTCCCTCCCTCCCTACCCTCCTCCCTCTCCCCCTTCCCCTATCCCTCCCTCTCCTTCCCTCCCTCCCCCACCTTCCTCCCCCTCGCCCCTCCCTCCTTTCCCTCCCCTCCCACCCTCCCGTCCCTCTCCCTTTTCCCCTATTCCCTCCCCCTCTCCTTCCTCCCTCCCCCTCCTTCCTCCTTTCCCTGCCCTCCCTCCCTTCCTCCTTCCTCCCTCTCTCCCCTCTCCTTCCCCTCCCCTCCTTCCCCCCTTTCCTTCCCTCTCTCCCTCCTCCTTCTCTCCCTCCTCCCTCCCCCTCGCCTCCTCCCTCCCTCCTCCCCCTTTCCCCTGCTCTCCCTCCCATCCCGCCTTCCCTTCTCTCTCTCCCTCTCCCTCCCTCTCCCCCTCCCTCCCTCTCTTTCTCCCCTCCCTCCCGTCCTCCTTCCCTCCCTCCTCCTCCCTCCCTCCTCCCTCCTCCTTCGCCTCCCTCCCTCTTCCTCCCTCCCTCCCCTCCCTCCCATTAAAACTTTAATCCCCGATTCGACCCAAACCAAAGGCTTCCCCAGAGCGAAATAATGTCGGAAGAGAGACGATTACCCCCCGCATTGACACGGTGACGCTGGTTCTTCTCTTCTTCTCCTCTTCTTCTTCTTCTTCTCCTCTTTCTCTTCGTCTTCTATCTTTCTCTCTTTTTTTTTTTTTTTTTTTGACGCTGGTTCTTCTCATTTCTCCTTCTTCTCTTCTTCCCTCTTTCTTTCAGTCTTCTCTCTCTCCTTTTCTCTCTCCTTTTTCTTCTTTGTTTTCGTCTTTTCTCTTATTTTTTCTTGAATTTTTCGTCTTTTTGTTTGGATTTTAATTTATTCTTCCTTTTTTCCTAAATTTCTGATCTCTGGCCGTTGATCCCTCCTTTTTTTCTTCTTCTTCTTCTCCCTTCCTTCTCCTACCTTTATCTCTCTTTTTTTCCTACTCCTTAACCCTTTCCTTCCTTTTTCTTCTTTCTCCAATCCCTACCTATATCTTTTTCTTTTCTTGATTACTAGTTCCTCCCTGTTTCTCTTCCTTTCTCCACTCCTATTTTTATTGCCATCCTCCATTCCTTCCTCTTCTTCCCCTCTCCCTATTTTTATCCTCCTTCCTCCTCTCGCCTATTAGCCTATCGTCTTCTTTCTTTCTCTCGACTTTTCGTATTTTACTTTCCCCCTTTTCCCTATTTTTTTTTTTTTTCTTTCTCACCTTTGTCTCTCCCTTCTACCTTTAATTCCCTTCTCTCTTATTTCATCTCTCTTTTGACTCGTGCCTTATCTTCCCACTTTCCTTCTCTCCTGCTCGTCATCATCGTATTATCATTAATTCCTTAATATAATCGACCCTTTATCTTCATCATATCTTTCATTATGAATCATCATCGTTATCATTCATCATTATCTCCATTATCACTATATCACCATTATTTTTTTTCCTCCTCCTGTTCTTTTTCTAACCTTTTTTTCTTCTTCTTCTCCTCTTAACTTTCTCACTCTCCTTCTCTGCCTCCC